CCTGAGGGTAGTATGTGTATGGATAGAGAGCATTAGAAGGCTGAAAAGATTGGGAGAATTTCATCACCATCTTCTGACAAGATCTGCTCCTACTCTGTTTGGATCGTTCTTCTTCTTCACTGCTGCCATTAAGGGTTTCTCTCACACCAACTCAAAACAGTCATCTATGCCCTTTTTTGAGTGCTTCAAGGCTTTGTTAAAGGCATTTCGGCACTAGTAAGGTGGTCAATTTGTAATTCTCTCATCAAGGACATAAATAAACATGTTTTCTTTCTTCTCCCGTGGATATAGGTCTCTTTGACCGAATCACGTAAATCTGGTGCCATCTTTATATTTCTTTTGCTCTTATTATTTGCTTTATAATTCACATATTCTTCAATTATTTTTTTCTTGTTTGTCATACTAATTAATCGGTAATTCAGAGTTTAATCCTAACATACATTTATATATATCAACTCTCGATCAAAGCAACTAAATATTGAACCGGTGACGGTAAGCATTATCTAATCTCAAGGTTAAATGCATTTTATAAATATCAAGTCGAAAATCATATTTAGTATATTTCATGGATTTGTTCAAATTTGTGAAGGAAAACAGCTAGTTACTGCGCGTTATTATATTGTTATTGCGTATTTCCTTCTTTTTCTGAAGGCCTCTGATTTATATATTTTTCATTTTCAGGAAAAAGCTCCTTACGTTGCGAATGCTGCCAAGAGAAAGGCCGAATACGAGCAAGCTTTGGAAGCATATATAAAGACAGTCGTAATTTCTTTTCTATTTCTTTTTAAATCTTTAGTGTTCTATGCTGTTTTTGTCCTCATATTCTGCTTCTTTCCCCTGAAATACCAGAATGAAGTTGAAGGAAAAAATAACGAATCAGATAAATCGACTTCCAAGGTACACGACGACGAGTGACGGACTAATCAGTTAGGGAGGTCGATCTGCTCTTGGGATTGTATTACGGTGCACCTACATGTTTCATTTCTGATCAATCACAAATTCACAACCCTGTTACATCAAACAATTGTTTTCTAGCATTTTTGGCCAATTACTAAGCAAAAAATCTGGGGCAGATCTAGGATTCTATCACTGTAATTCAAGTAAAACAAATATTCAGCCGAACTCATTTACATTGGACGAATTCAGTACACAAGAGGATAGAAACTCGTGATGTATAAAAGTTAAAACATGGAACCGGTCCCTTATTAGAGTTGTTACTGTTAAAATCCACTGAACCATCTTGTCTTGAAATTAAGGGTTTGATAATGAATGGCCGTGATCATCCAATTACTTTGACTCCACACTCAAAAGGTCGGCCTAGTATACCATTTAGTAATGGATTCTGCATCTTATATTCTTAGTATCATACTATCATCATACACATTTTATGGACGATGGATTTACCTTTTCCGTCTTCTGTTCTTTTTGCAGGAATAAGTTGTGGTTGTAAATAAAGATCAATGCTGAATGCAAATGGCATAATCTGTAAGTCAGTATAGCGTAGTGGACCGTAATTTAGTTATTAGCTTCCTTAACGTACTGAAATGCGGCTTAGCCAAGTGGATGTTCCTTTGCGATCCCACCTGCTGACTGTTGTTGTAGTATAGATTGTCTAGTACCAGCTCAAAATTTAAATGTTGTGGTGATCGTTCTTGAATCTTGATTGTGAAGGCTGTTAGCAATCACATTTCGTTTGTTCTGCTCTATAATCAGATGCTAACATGCCCTTCTACGCTGATATGTTTTCTTATTTTGTGGACATTTCTTCTTTTGCAACTTAACTAATTAGATAGTTATAACTTAGAACATACAAGATATTGTAATGGCCTTTTCGTGGACAGATCCGGTCTCGAGCCCATGATTCTCGTTTTAGCCTTGCACTAAAAGGCATTATCGTATCAAAAAACAAAAATGAACTCTTGATGCCAGAAGGGTATGATATCTAAGAATTTTTACCAATCCAAACCCTAGTGAATTTTGATGAATACCATGATTGGTTTATTGGTTACCATTTCATGGTGGCGTGATGCTAGTCGATTGGTTTTTAATATTTTAGGTATCATACCTTTCGGGTATCATAGTCGGATTCATTAAAAAATCAAACAAACAAATTATAATATTCTCTATCAACTCTGCCAAGTTTCAGTGGTGTTGGAGTTGTCTCCTGCTCCATATCGCTTGTTTATGAAAGAAGAAACCATTTGCACTAATAATATCACCTTTTTTGCTTACGCTGCATTTGTCTACTTCTTTTCATAAAGGGAAAATTCCCATGTATTTTGGGACTAGTGTCACTTTGGTTCCTTAACTTTAAAATGTGATAATTCAGTACTTAAATTTTCAAAATATATCAATTTAATCTGTTAATCAAATTGGTATTTGAAAAGATACAAATGCCCTTCGAGTGCTACCTAATTCTCTTTATCAACCATCCAAATGTTGACAAAAAATAAACAGTCCCAAATCCTTGTCTCTTCTATTCAAAAAAGTTGGGGCATGTCTCAATGAGCACTCTAGTAACCCCAACTTTCTCGAATAGAAGAGGCTAGGGGTGGATTCGAGCCGACCCGAACTAAATACTATCAGGCTCGAGCTTGATTTTAAGAAAAAATATTTTATAAAAAAATAAAAAATTATATATAAAAATATTTTTATTTGATATTTAAAAAATTAATATAATATTTTTATTCTATATATATTATTTTCTATAATTTTATTATATATATATATTCGAGCCGGTTCGCGAGCCTCACGAGCCAAGCTCTAGTAGGCTCGAGCTCGGTTGAAACTGAGCCGAGCTCGTGAAAAGCTCAACTTGTTGCCACCCGTAGAAGAGGCAAGGATTTGGGATTGTTCATTTTTTATCAACATTTGGATGGTTGATAAAGTTAGATGACACCTGAAGGACATTTATATCTTTTCAAACGCCACTTAATGGTTAATTAACGAATTGGTTAACAACAGGTACTGGATTGACACATTTTGAATATTCGAGTACTGAATTGTCGCATTTTAAAGTTTGGGGACCAAAGTGGTACTAGGCCCAAAGTATCGGGTATTAATCAAAAATTTTCCCTTTCAGAAATTACTTGTTTATTTTTTTCCTAAGGCTTAGTTTGGTAGGAGTATAAATACAAATTAGGGGTGCAAGTTGGGCTGGTTGGGCTGGGTTTATGGTCAACCTAGGACCAACCCTAAAATTTGGGCTTAAGGCGTGAGCCCGAGGTCAAGCCCGATTTTCCCAACTCGAGCCTAGCTCGCTCTGTAATTTGATGCACTCGGGTTGGGCTCGGGCTTGGGCCCGGGCCAGGCTTGAGTTGGTCAATGAACTCACTTTAAAATTATACATATATAAATATATTTATGCAAATATATATACATATATTTATGTATGTATGTAAAATATCTATACAAATGGTATATATACGAATATGTGTGTATATATATGTAAATATTTATGCAACATTTACATACACACACACACACACACACACACACACACACACACACATATATATATATGTGCATAAATGTATATAATTGGGTTGAGCTCGGGCTGGGTTCGGGCTACCTAAGGGCTAGGCCCAAGCCTGGCCCGAAAAATAAAAATGCCAACTTCTTGGGCCTAAGGATTGAAAATCCAAGCCTAACCCATGTAAAATTCCAGGTTGGGCTGGTTCGGGCTTGGGTTAGGCTCGCCCAAGTTGCATCCCTAAAACAAATATGTGCAATACAAATACATACAAAATAATATAAAATACAAGGTTTTTTGCTCTACAAATTTGTATTTGTACTCCTTCAAATTTCCAAATTGAGCCTAATTAAAGAACCATCGATCTTAGTTGAGCAAGTCCCCTTACGCCAAAGAGGTCCATGATCTGAATTCTATTCATTTATAATTGGACCAAATATGAATTTACCCCTATCCAATTCAATATGATCTGATTCGATTCGGTTTAAATATATGTGCTCATATATCCTTAAAAATTATATTATATAAGTTGGTCTCATCACTCATGTTATATTTTTACTAAATTGTCCTAGGTTAAAGTTTTATACAAGTAACCTTCAAGTCATTTTGTTCATAAAATATAATATAAAAGTCATTTTTAATTCACTGTATTAATAATAGATAATATTTTGATCCTTTTTTGGCTATTAGTTATACTATTTAATATCAGATTACAATCCTAATTCATTTAGAACGCACTAGATATCCGATGGACATGATCGGATTTGAATTTGAATGTAAATAAATCAAATTCGGATATGCCTATATCCGATTAGATTCGATCTATTTGCAGCCCTACTCCTTTAATCCTTTTCTTGTAGTAGGAGCAAGGTAGCCCATAACGCACCGGCAGCCATTCCTCTTTGCGAAAGCTGTCTAACAACAAAACAGAGAACAGGCCTTGGCAATCAATCGGCTGGCCAAATTTAACAGCTTGCTCAAGTCATTTGTAGAGGTGTTTGAAGTTTGGCACTCGCATCACATGGCCGAACCAATTAAACTACAAGAACAGTCATTTTGTTACGAGGACGAGAGCATTTAAATCAAACAAGATAATATAAGCAAATAAGACCAAGCATCAACAATACTGTTAGAAGTAGAAATTTTTAGCTCAAATGTGCATTCACTAGCCACAACCAAATATGCCGGAATCCCCATCAAAGAAAGCATGGTAAAGTGTAGAGATCAATAATTAACCATTTAACCTGACCGTGAGGCGTCTACAGCCGAAACAATAGCAAAGGAAAAAACGTCGGAGATTGTTCTACATCTCAGATTTTTTAGCCCAGTTGAAATTGGGCTCGCTCCAGGGTTGTGGACCATGTGGTCCAGTGACTAGAAACCTTATGGGTATTGGAAAAATTGGAATTGTGTTTGACATGCAATCCAGAAAGAAATTAAAATACTGAATCTTTTTCTTCCTTTCATAACATTGAATCACTTGCCTGAATTTTTAATCTCTTTGGATCTTCATATTTTCTAGCTAGTGTTCAAGACAAAACGAAGCCCTTTTTGTTTGCAATTTGACGCACGAATTTAATCTATCTACAAAATGAAATATATATAGCAACGTCGCAACACTTGTGACGAAGTTCACGTTTGTGTGAGTGTGACTTGTAGAGGTGTTGGGTTGTCGACTTGTTCAGTCCATTCGGAGTTGGGTTCGCTCCAGGATCGGGGTCTCACCCCAAACCTAAAGAATAAAACCATCTCCAGTGTCTCGAAAACCTTGTTTCTGTCTAAAAACTTGTTCCAGGCGCCACTGACAATACAGTAGTTATTGTTGTAAGGTGGGCGATGGTGTGCAGCATGGTGTGCACGCGAGACGAGCACCCCTGCGTCCTGCAATGCCACAACCAGTGGAGGAAGCCGGCTCTTGGTGCCATGGGCCCAAGCATGGAACTGTTGGCTGAACATGATGCACCCCGAGCAGACTCCTACAAAACCATGCACAACTGGGTCATTGACACCAAGGTCTATAGGGAGAACAACGAACGATACTGCACGGGCCAACGCATACAGATTATTGGCAAATTGGCGCTTGGTTATGGTCCACGGCCACTTGTGGTGACCCTGGAAGGCCTCAATTTGGGAACCAAACACAGGAGAAGAAGCATCCCCATAGTTATCAATCGCCCAATGGTAGACCCCAGAGCCAAGGTCAGCTAGCACATACCCAATCAACCCTGCAACAAGAGGCTCAAACCATGTATGTGACTCAATTGCCGACTTTGCTAGGGAAACCAACACCGAGGTGCACCCGGCTGCAACCCAGGCACGATGAGACCATGTTGATCGCAAACTAGGGTCATCGAGTAGGGGGGCACTGCTGGCACGTCGAGTGGTCGCAACAAGGGGAGGTGATGTTGGAAGGCGTGGTGGTGGTGGTGGTTCATCAAGAGCAGTGCTGGGCGTCGAGCAATAGACACGGGCGGCGATGCGAGGGAGGCCACATGTGTTGCGACGAAAATGGCAGCCCAGTCCCAGATATGGGTACTTGGGGTGGAGTAAGGTGGGCATGGGGGGAGCCGGGAGGGTGGATGGCTAACTAGGAACTGCTCACGCCAATGGACTACTTAAATAGGTGGTAATAGTGGCTGTAGATTGCGTGGGAGGTTTATGGTGATAAAAGCAGTGGGGACCGGAGTTGTGATGTGGTTTTTGTGGTGGTTGCGTGGGGATGCCAGCATCTCAAGTGCCAACGGGCTGACTTCGGAGTGAATCTCCGTCACCCCTTTTTTGGATGTCAAAGCATTGGCATAGGATGATAGGACAACAATAGTCTAGTTGGTTCTCTCTGGCTAGGGAGGTAGCTCCGTAGCTATTCTCTTTCTTTGGAGTCCGCCTGGCTGTCCATGGCCAATCAAATAAGAAAGCAATAGCTGGGCTTCAACGTGTCATGTGTATATAGCATCCGGACCCACCACAGAATGGTCTGCTCTGTCCATGATCACGAAATCTCTACATGATTAGCTTGATGCTAACCATCTGGTTTGATTCTTCCTGGGCTCTGGAATATTCTTTGAAAAACGCAGTCTCTTTTCACTAATTGGTGTAGCCCAATATTTGGACAACATCAGAAGTTTTCTCCAAAATTTGTAAGTTGCCTTCCCATTTTGAGTTTTGAGTCTTTTGATAGAACTACGGCCCAGGCCCACTAATTAAATTCACGTTTCTCATACTTGAATCGGACCGGACTGTCCAGCCGATTGTAACTCAAACATGACTGTTGGAAGAGTTTTACTACAGTCTAGTTACTCACTGTAAGACCAAATCTCAGTCTCTCAATTCATGGGGGCTGACGTTACAAGTGGACAATCTAACAAGTTCTACGGGTATATGGTTTATAAGTGGGCAACTTACCCGGGTAGACTCCAAATCTCCTGCCCACGTCTACTCTCAACACATTATCAACGTGCATTAGGAACGTCTCTCCATGCATAATATTATGTGAGAGGATGAGATGTTCCCCATATGTGATTGCGATGTTATGTAGGTAGATATGGGTAGGAGATCCAGACTCAAATTGATTAGTGTGTATATATATACACGCCAGTTAACCGATAATACCAATTTAATTTTAATTTAAAGAATTGTAAAAAACCAATAGTACCGATTCGATTTAAAAATAATAATTCATGGTTCGATTAACTGTGAGCAACTGAGCATTCCTAATTGACTGAACCTGATAAATTATCCGTTTGAAAGAGTCTTACTATTTATGGGAGTTAACCTTGGCCTCTCAATTCATGGGAGTTAACGCCAAACCTTGGCCTCTCAATTCATGGGAGTTAACGCCACAATTGGGTTTGCTCACAATTAAAACATTGAATGATGGCCTTCAGTGTATTGCCGACTTGCCGTTAGGGATCGAACTTGGGTGGGCTTGGGTTGGATTTTCGTCAATATTTAAATGGGCCCGGCCTAAAGTAATCTAAAATGTCTAACTCAGGCAAACCTGAATTGCACTTGCACCTCAGCAAAAAATTTGATAATGTTAGGCTGTAAGCACACTGATGTGAAGATGGGGCCATAGCAAAACGTGGAACGCGATTGATTTATACGCTTTGAATTTCCTGTTCATCCAATCACATTTTGAGAATATTTATTGTAAATATATATTAAATTCATGGGAAGATGTTCTAAGTGTGCATCTGGATTTTCATGCTTTCCCAATATGTATAGAGTTTTTGCTTGTACTACGGAATTCTATACTTTAATTTGCATGCTAAAATCAGATTAACATTGTTAGGGCAAATTTCTTAAATTATCTTTAGGTAATTGACTAATTCTATTCTTACTGTTTACATATTGACTTAAAGTACCCTTATATTGTTGTTAAATGCTAACAGAAAGAAATAAAATGTTGTATTTATTTTTTATTATTTTTCAAATTTTCAAAATAAAACTCAACCAATAAAAAAATTCAAAATAAAGAGGAAGCTGATGGCATCATCGACAATGTTGTGACTCTAAACCCAGGCAGAGATATGGCCCGACGAGCTCTCTTTTTTTCTCGGACGAGATATCTCTTGATCAGAGAAACGCAGCCCATTATGAGGAAGCAAATGATGAGCTTCACTCCATTGGGTTATTTCTTTCTTGGCTGATGATTGATGTGGATAGATTTGCGGTAATGGGTGTCTTTGGCGTGTCGAAAGAATTCCGATTTCTAAAAGGTGGAAACTTTATTGTTTATGAGTAGAGGAATGCTGAAGATTGAAATCTTGGTCTTTCCTAGGAATGCAGAATGGTGGAGACTCCTTGTTTGACCTATGATGATTCAGATGTGAGCTTTTGATTTTTGAATCTTTCTTGATTGATGGATGTTTTTTTAGGTCACTTTTTTCATTTCTCCCATTGAATTTGATCGAGAGTTATTGGTGATAGTACTCTGATATTGGATTACGAAAATTTTATAATTTTTGAAACACGGAGATCAGAACTAACGGGAATCTTTTAACAAAGAGAAGAGTTTTGGATGGCAAAGGCTACGTGAATCTCGGGTTGTATTGTTTTATTACCCCATTGATTATCTGAATTGGTAATTTGAGCAGAGAGAGAAAGGGAATACAAATGGAGCTTGAAAAATAAATTGTAAATGGTGAGGCAGAGGAAACCAAAAGTCGGAATAGTCAAGATAGTCGAGAGAACTCTGCTGAAACCTCTATCAAGGAAGCCCGTATCGTTTGCCTCCCTAAACCAGGTATGATAATTCCTAACTTATAAGAAACCAAAGAGAGACATAAGAATCAGAAGAGATTGGAACAGTGAGATAGGCGTCAAATCTCATGAGCAACTGGACCAATTTTTCTTTGGATGAAATGGATAACATCTCATCCTTTGCATAGTATTATGTAGGGGAAAATGTTTTCAATTCACATAAGGTAGTGTATTGTAGGTAGGCATGGGCAAAATTCTTGTGGACAGAAAATTCGGAGTCTATTGACATATCGGCCTGTATTAATATTATTTTTTTTTTCTAAACAGGGGTTGATTTAAAAGCCTGGCTACCCTTTGTATCATGGTCTGACCCGGTACAACCCCTAAAAAAATGTATCAAAAGCTATCAATACGATATATATCAACCAATATAGATCAATACATATGGATACTTTGAACCTTGATTGTCGCTCATCACCCAACAACTGGCCCTTTATAATATTAACATTTTAATGTAAAAATATAAAAGTGAAGGCAGGACAGCTTTCACTCCTACTAGATCAAGGATTTTTTTTTTTCTTTTAAACTCCTATTAGACCCAATTTTTAATTGATTAAAATTGAGTGACACCTCATTGAGAGAGAGAGAGACCTTTTAAATCACGACGGACGACCGTATGAAACTTTTGGCTCGCTTGCTTCCTTGTTGGGTGGATCACTCGGAATCGGAAGCTGAGATCGGTTGAAGCCAACATTTAAAGCTGAAACGACAAAATTATTAAATATTCATCCATGCTTAGATGCGTATACAACAAAGTAATCCATTGCTTACTTATTTATGTTGTTTGTTTGATTCTTTTCTCTGTTTTTTTCTTCTTTTTTTAATTCTTCAATCAATTTTCACTTCTTTATTTCGTTATCATAAACGATGTAAACTCTTCCTTCACCTTGAAGAAAATACATTCCAATTAGCTAGAGATTGCCTGCACGTAATGGATGAACCATTGAAATGGAATGAATATACATCCTTTCAAATCTCACTCAATTTTGAATCATTGGTGCACTGAGTATTGCTATTTTTAGGTATTTTAAATAAATGTATCTTTGAAAAAAGTTAGCCAAAGAGTATCTTTCATATTAAAAAAAATTAATGCATGTATGATTGTAGTTGGTACCATTCCCATTTTTATGTTATCTAAGAAAATATATGGTGTGGGAAAGACATGGTATGGGAAGAGTTTTGACCAATCAAAACTCACCCATGAATTTTGATAAACAACACCTGATTGACTATAACGTGTATGATTTCAATTGATTGGTCAGTTGTTTTTCATATATTATATCTTTCCCATATCATAGGAAAACCAATCTTAAGTGTCTACATGTTTTTGAGAAATATGTTGTTACATCACATAAAACTAGAAAAATGTAGGCATGGGATTGATCTAATTGAAAGGTCAGAAAGAACAGTTTGTATTGATCAACTCAAAATATTTTTGGAACAAAATATCTTATTAAACAAATTTGTATTGATAAATCCTAAATATTACAAATATAAAAAGGACAATGATACTAAACAATAACCTATTCATCTGAAAAACTATTGGAAACCAAGGTATTTGCACCTTATCAAAATATTAAGAGAGGTTTTCATTAGGGTCAAAACCCAAAAAAGGTTTAAGAATTGTCAAAAAAATAAGAGGTTTTTATAATTCCACCCCCCCCCCAAAAAAAAAAAAAAAAAAAAAACAAACAACCCATTCGGCTTGTTAGATGGGTTAATGGTTAAACCCTTTTGATTAATGGGTCAACGAAATCAACAGTTTTATGTGATATATTAAAGGTTGAGTCAAACATAACTGTGACTATATCATTGGTCGGACCATTTGGACCAACAGCAGGTCAAAAACACTGATCCAAAGTTCAAGTAAAGTAATTATTTTTTTTCCTGTTAAGCTAAATAATCTTTATCAATTTAATAATAATAATAATAATAATAATAATAATAATATGAATATGAATATGAACAATTAATAGAATAATAGTCTCTACTCTCTAATCCCCACCACAATTCAATGCTCACAAGTTACAGCAAGCGGCCCATGTATGGGCGGGCGGGTCTGTTTTTTATTGTTGCTACTCGTAAACTTGGGCTTGGGAAATGGAATAAGTATGCATCTGATGATATAAACAAATCTGAACACACATAATCTAAATCTAAAGAGAAGGAACATTGATGGATATACTAAAGTACTTAGTACGGCCCACTAGGAAGAAGCGAAGATAAACACGCTTTAATTCACGGAGTTCCGGATAGAACTTTTCAAAAATAGTCACAAGGTTGTGTTGGGTTAGAATTGAAGTTCAGGTTAGAGTTGAAAAGTATGAATTTGATTTAACTTCGAATTGGGTCAGGTTTGAGCCTTTGACCAATCTTTGGTTCATCCCAAATTAATCCAATTTAGCTTCGTATTTGTTGTACAAATATTATAATATTTGTTTATGTATGCAAGTTATTATGTATATATGCATTATAATGTATATATAAAGTTGACACGACCAAGATTTCACATGGTCATGGAGTTTGCATATATAAAGTTGACAAAGAAAATGAATATAATCAATATTATGTGGTTAAAGGCCTTCAAATCATAAGAGACAAAAATGAGAAGTGTCTCTCAGTTTTTGTTTGCATCACTAACATTTAAAGCTGATACGACAAGCTATTAATATTCATCCATACTTAGATGCTTATATACCTAAGTAGTTAACTAATCAAATCCATCATCGTCGCTGAGTTATTTCTGTTGTCTCTTTTGACTCTTTTCCCTTTTTTTTTTTTAATTCTTCAAGGACAGTTGTATTCTTGGATCACTAAGAGGCTGATGTGAGACCAACATTTAAAAGCTGAAACAACAAGCTATTGATTAACATTCATTTATACTTAGATGCTTATATCATTTTGGTCCATTATCAAGACGACGTGGACTTGTTCCTTCCCTGTGAAGAATATACATTTCAATTAGAGATTGCTCCACGTAATGGATGAGCCATTGAATTTCAAGAATAATTTAGGTGTTGGTGCATAGATAAAGATCAAAGCAAGGGAAGAATACGTTCCTAACTTTTCACCTTTTTTTTTTTTCACAATATGATTCTTCTCAGACTTGTACTTACATTCTCATACCTGTCAACTTGAGATTATAGTCCTTAAATTAATCTGTGATATCATTATTATAAAAAGGAAATTGTCTAAAATTTATCATGACTTTTTAGCGTTTCTCTTAAATAAATCTTAACTTTTCAAAATGTACAGGAAACTCCATGTCAGTAACTTGACGTTAAACAGATTAACAGGTCTTAGGTCTTAATAGATTACCATTTTACCCTTGTTATATTCGAAACATTTTTCAATATTCTATAAATACTTGTATTATTATTTGACCCAAAACCCATTTTTCAGCTTCATTGGAATACTTTCAAGCAGCACAAATGAGAGCAAAATGTCTCTCAACAACTAGAAATCTTATATATAAGGCAGTTTGGAGTTTAAGGTTATTCTAATCATAAAAATATGTTTAATGAGGCTAACTTACCATTCAGGGCAGTTTGGTCATGAAATTTGTATTTATGCTAACATGATAACTTCTAAGTTTTGGAAAATAAAAAATCACTGACACGGGGTTCCCTGTACATTTTGAAAAGTTATGGTGAGTTTAAGAGAAATGCTGAAAAGCCATGGTGAGTTTTAGACAATTTCCTTATAAAAAAAATACAAACATAAAAACCATAACCGATTCAATGGATTAAAATGGGTCAATGGTTCAACCCTTTTGATTAATGGATCATTGACCAAATCAGCATTTTTTAATTATATAGCAGATTAAAAGGTTGAACCAAACATAACATGAGACCAGATAAAAAGATCATTAGTTCAATCAACTAGATAAACGGAAAGGTTAATACTGATCCAAAGTTCGAACTAAGGTTGTTTTTGGTATCATTGCTGTTTCTATTAAGAATAATTGGGGTTTATCAATACTAATTTTTGGGAAATTATATTGTCACTTCACATTAGATAACCACTTCATAGGTAGACATTGGATGGGTGTTGACATTTATAATAGAAACATCAAATTTGAAATTTCATAAAAAAGTGGCAATGGTACTTGCATTTAACACTAAAAGTGGGATTTTTTTATATATATATATAGACAGTTGCCTATTTTATTAATAAAACCCCAAACTTTCTAATAAAGGCAGCAATTTTAGCAAATACAACCTAAGTAATTAACCTAATTACCACTATGCGCCATAATTATAAATAATTTAATAATTTAAAACAATAATAATTGCTAAATATTAATTAATTGTCTCTGCTCCCACCATGACTCAATGCTTACAAGTAGGGGTGGCAACGAGCTGAGCTTTTCACGAGTTGCTCGAGCTCGGCTCGTGAAAAGCTCGGCTCGGCTCAGTTTCAGTCGAGCTCGAGCCCAATTCATTGGCTCGATTATTAAACGAGCCGAGCTCGAGCCTACTAGAGCTCGGCTCATGAGGCTCGCAAGCTGGTTCGAATATATATATATATGTATATAAAATTATAGAAAATAATATATATAATAAAAATATTATAATTATTCATTATTATAATTCTTAATTTTTAAAATAGAATAAAAAAATTATATATTTTTTATTTTTATAAAATATTTTTTCTAAATATTTTTATAAAATATAAAATGAACCGAACCGAACCGAACTTGAACTTATGAACTCTTGACTCAAACCGAACTCGAGCTCAAAGTTCTGACTCGAACCAAGCTCGAGCCTTATAAAATAGTACCAGATTCGAGCTCGGCTAGAATCCACCCCTACTTACAAGTTACACCTTTACAAGCAGCCAGGCAGCCCGTGCATGGGATGGGTGGACCGTGGGCGGGCCTGTCCAATTTCTATTGTCGTTAACGGGTAAGGTTTGGGCCCGGGATTATTATGGATCTGATGGTGATCGATATGAAAGAAATCTGAACACACCAGACTCTAAACTCTAAAGAGAGAGTAGGCTGTAGGCCCATTAATGGATATAATAAAGTTCACAGATATATACCACTTCAGTTCACACAGGTAAAGTTTGCCCAACTCGTACTTCAGCATTACTGTATTATGTTATGCCACAATGCAAAGGGGACTGGCTAGATTCTAATAAACAACTGTATGATGATGCAACTTTTGGGTTATGTTTGGTTTAAAGGAAAAGGTAGACAAATTAAGGGAAATAATAAACCTTTTATAAAGGTTTTCCTACATTTTTCTTCCTTCCTTTTCCTGTGTTTTCTTTAAAATCAAACACAGCCTTGAAAAACTCGCCCTACAGAATACAAAGAATGTAGGACCCATGAATTTATAAAGGTCTCGCTTTGTCTGTACAGAGGTGCAGCCACGAGTTGAATAAGCTAATTGTTTGGTAGCATTCTTCAGCTTCTGCTAATTAATAAGAGTGAAAACGCCGATAAAAACGACACGTTATCATCATTTATCAAACAAACAAAAACAATGAGGTACTGCTCTGAGTCTGAGGATTAAAACGTCCATTTCCCTCTACAAACGGCTGGAGGATATTTTCGTCTTTTTATATAGTTGATTATATATTTTAGTGATTCCATAACTTCTCGTTTGCTTCAACCGTTCTTCTCTCTCTCTCTCTCTCTCTCTCTTTCGCTGCAGAATTTTTTCGTCCCAAGCCATGACGCCTTTGTCTCTGCTTCCCTTCACAAAGCGTTTTTTCACCTGTCTTTCTCTGTTGTCTTTGGTTTTCTCACATGGGTATGCTTGGAATGCACCGTTTCACCCACTCGACGTTCTTCCTCTGTTACCCAGACAGATTTCATGGCCGGTTCTCAACTCTCTCCGAAGTGCAGTTGATCTGCTTCCTACCTTCGTTGGTGCTGCCTCGTCGCCTAACGATACCTTGAACTGGAAGGGCGCTTGTTTTTATAAGAACAGGGCTTGGTTGGAATTCCACAACAAAAGCGGCAGTGAATTTGGTGGGGGGACAATTCATATCAAGGTTTGCAAGAAGAAATTTCTGGGTTTTCTTTTTGTTTACTCTATTCCTTCGTATTTGATTGGAATTTAAATATTTTGGAGAACTTGGTATCTGAGTATTTTAAGTTCTTGAACTATTCTGCCTAATTTAGAGCAACTGAAGGAACTTGACTTTTATGTTCTATTTATGCATATCTGTGTTTTTATGGGTTCTCATTCTCTAATTTGATTAAATTGGGATGTATCTTGTATTAGTTCCGTTGTTTTTTGGAGATCGTGGAAATTTTTTCAAGATTTACTAGAGTTTTGAGTTTCCAGCTATTGGAAGAGGCAGAAGTCCATGCGGAGTGGTTACTAGTTTTTTTAATTTCTCTCAGATTATTGAAAGAAATTTGGAGAGATTCTTGGATAAGTTAGCTGTGCAGACATGAAATCCCGCTGTTCTCAAGATTTTAAGAGTTATTTGACTTGGCCCAGGAGTTGGAAAGTCATTAGCTAGTTTTTTGTTTCTTAAAAGTTATCTTCTGTACTACATATAGGATAGTTGATTATTTTCAGGAAGGGTTTTATTAGAAAGATTTATGAAATAATCTTTTGCTTCTATCAAATTTCGGAAGTTAAAATGCAGATCATTAATACTTAACCAGTCAGTTCCTTCATTGTCTGCATACATGGAGTCAGCTACATGAATCCTGTTTTGCAATTCCACTCTATCAAGAGTCACATCCATTGTTAAATTGTGAGCCCCAAGTCATTTCTCACTACCTCTGCCCAAATCCTTTTTGTCTTACCCCTAGATCTTCTAGATCTTTCAAGTTGCAAAATATCTGCTCTTACCAGTACAGCAATCCAAAACTGTCTTAGTCTACTTTCCTTCATTTTGGCACATATAATGCTACTCCTATATTTCCAATTTTCCATTAATATGCTCATTTGTAAACCTGCTAGTTATGTAGTGAATTTCAATGGAATTGGAAGTTCAGTCTAGAATTGATTTATACATATATTCTTGGTGGTGAGCTCTCTATCCGAATTGAATCTCTGTAAGGCTTGCCCTTTTTAATTTACTTCATTCCATTACTAATCCTGTCAGGTATGTATGCTCATTTTCCAAACCAAGAATTCTGCTCTCCAACTCTTCTTCATGAACAATGATCTTATATAGTTCTTGATTTCCTAGAGGAGTCAAATCCGAATTTATCTTTTACAATTGATTCTTGATCTAGAACATTAGTTGATTGGTTTTCATTCTTGGTTTTGAAATTTCTACTTTCTTTCTTCTAGTCTAAATTTTGGTTGTTACTCCAGGATCCATATTTAGCTCACAACTCAAGCCCAAGACTCGTTAAAAAAAATACTATCCCAAGAGTATTTCTTTTGTTTGTTAGACCCTAGTTTTTATCTAAAATTCATCTATTTCTCTGATTAAACCTTGAAATTTTCTTATTTCCAAAACCTGAACCTTTTAGGTGTTACAATTTTAGAACTCTCTACCCTGTTCTATGTCAAATTCCAAATGCTTTTTGCAGCAAAGGTAAGTGAGGAAATTGAGCCACATCTTTAATCTTTACTCAACCTGATTGAATTATTACAATAGACAATTTTTGGACCTTATTACAACCTTTGACTGTAGCTTCTCAAAAATCTAAAAAATGAAATCATTTTCTTATCATTTTTTTTGAACTGTAAGGTAAAGTATTTCATTAAGATCAAAGAGCCAAAATACAATATAGCCTCCGTACAATTTGGAACTGTATAGTTAGAAACAGTATGCTCAATACAGCCACCCCCTCAAAACAAAAAACTATGGACTCCTTACGAAAAGGAAATCAGAATTAAAAAAGGAACAATTATGTCTATTTTTTAATAATGGGTGGATTGCCAACCAAGAATGCACCATCCCCAAAATCCTGTTGAGAACTTCTTCTTTTGAGGATTGTCTTCCTTCGAATAATCTACTATTCTTTCACTCCAAACTGCCCAGGAAACTGCTGTGGGGAGGATGCTCCAAGCTACATTTCCAGCCCTAGATAAGCCTCCTAGAAATCATGCCCCTATAAATCCCTTCACATCAGCCGAGAAGCACATTTTAACACCAAACAATTTCAACAAACTCATCCAAACCCAGTAAGAAAAATCACAGTAACAACAATTGGCTAGAAGACTCCACATTTCTGTTACAAAGTGAACAAGCCATATCCTCCACCTCTAAACCTCTTCTGACTAAATTTTCCTTAGTTAGGATCTTATCCAGCACTGCAGACCAAACCAGATAAAAAAAGCCGGTTTAGATGGAACAGATCTGATCCAAATGTCACATGGGAAAGAAGAAGAATCTTCCCTTGTCAAGCTGTTAAAAAGGATTTCACGGAAAAGGTACCAAATTTATCAAAGAGCCATTTCCTTTTATCCTCCTCCCCTACTCCAGACGTCTTTGCGTCATAAAGAATTTGAAGCAAGCTGACCAAAGAAGCTACCTCCCAATCATTTAAATTTCTCCTGAATTGAGGGTTCCAAGTACAATGTCCATTTTGCCTCTCCAAACAATTAGCCACTGTTGCATCCTTGTTTACAGAAATTTCAAACAGATCAGGGAAGAGGATCATTAATGGGCCATCCCCACACCAGAAATCCTTCCAAAACAGCACCCTAAGGCAATTTCCCACTTCGTATGTTATGCCCTTCAAAAACTGAGGATGAAGTCGATGAACTTTCTGAATTGCCTTCCACAATGAACACCCATTGGATGATCTCACTTCTTCAGTCTCCCACTCCCTGCTGCTTAAACCGTACTTGGACACTATTTACCTTCTCCACAGACTATCCGTGTGCTCATTGAATCTCCATAACCGCTTCCCTAGCAAGGCTGTGTTGATATCTTTCACTGATATGATCCCTAGACCCCCATTATCCCTGAAACTGCAGATTTTTTTCCAGTTTACTAGATGACATTTTGATTCTTCCTTCCTCCTGAGGCCATTTTATTATCATTTCCATTGTAAGAAGAGGAGACTCGTAAAGGCATATGGTACCCATTGCTTTGTTGATGGAAGAACAACATAAGAGTGATGGTATGGGAATTATGCAATTACTTGGAAAGTATGGTAGTCGAGATTTTCTTTTTCCCCCCTGAATAGATCTTTGGACCCATCAAATAGCGGATTATATCGCTTCCTCATTTCTCCCATATATTTCAGTTAAAGCATCTTCCGTGTGTCTACGTATTTTTCACAGTTGAAGGACAGCTTTGCTTTCTTATGGGATGCAAGGTTTCCAGACTTGGACACTATTATTATAAACAAGGAACTAAGATTTTTTTTAGTAGAATTTAGTTGTGCCTGATTTAGTACTTATTAAAGTTAGAAAATGGCTTTTTGAAATATTGGAGATCAACTTGGTGATTTTAATTGGTCTAACTTTGTGAACATTATTGGAATGTTTTCTTTTTTTTTTTCTTGTATTATGTGCACTAAAAAGATTCAACTAGTTCCAGGATTATAGATGTTTTCGATGAACTAACAATTTTGAGATTGTTTCTGTTTCTGTTTTTCCCATCCAGAATAGCCATGCTCACAGTTGGACATGCATGGATCTCTACATCTTTGTTACTCCATATCGTGTTACATGGGACTATTACTTCCTTTCTCGGGAGCATACACTTGAGTTCAAAGAATGGGAGGGAAAAGCTGAGTTTGAATATGTAAGTTGTCAATTTTGTTGACAAGAAATTGCTACCTGCTCCAATTCTATTATGAAGAGTGAATATCCATATCAAGAGTTATCTTGTTTTTTTCTTCCTGAAATCAGGTAAAACATAATGGGGTCTCTATATTCCTTATGGAATCAGGAATGCTGGGAACCCTTCAAGCTCTGTGGGATGTCTTTCCATTATTTTCAAATACTGGATGGGGTGAGAGTTCAAACTTGGCATTTCTCAAGAAGCATATGGGATCTGTTTTTGAAGAGCGTCCTCAGCCTTGGGTTACAAATATAAGTGTTGATGATATTCACTCTGGAGATTTCCTAGCAATATCAAAAATTCGGGGGCGGTGGGGTGGCTTTGAGACATTAGAGAAGTGGGTTTCTGGATCGTATGCTGGTCATTCTGCTGTTTGCTTGAAGGATTCTGAAGGTAAACTTTGGGTAGGAGAATCTGGGCACGAAAATGAAGAGGTAAGACCATATAAATTGCTAAAAGCTTCATATTTTAACCAAACTTTTCTCATCTCTAACAAAGAAAACTTTATATATTATATATAAAAAGAATGATACATGACAATGTTGTACCAACTACCAAGAACCTAAAAGTTGGACTAGCCTCTGCTAGCCTTACCCTGCTTTTACAAATTTCTGCCTTGTGAATCATATTGTCCACTGCAATTAATTCATGTTTACCCTTGACTTGCTAACCTATCTGCCATACTGTTGTGTTGGTGGACCTTGGAACCCAATTATAATTTGTTCTCCAATTTGCAACCATCTATCAATCTCTCCCATTGTATATTTCTATTTCCATGATCCTGTGCTGTACTTCTTTTAACCAGCCCATAATTGCATTAACCCAGATCTTTTCTTAAAAAGATAAGTGTAAAATATTGTTTTTAACGCAATTGATCAAAAAAAATAGTGTTAACACAGATCTCTTAAATGCTCAATTACTGTGATTTTTCTGGATATCCGTAACACTATATAAAAAGGACTAACAGTCTAACACCCATGTCAAACACTTCAGATTTAAGGAGAAAAGTGTCATTTAATTATTTCTGTTGCTTCTTTTTTTTTTATTAATCCATTCCTATCCTAAGAAAGTTTATCCTCAAGTCTGAATTTCAGTTCCAGTGCTGAAAGAGTTGATAGATGAGATATAGAAATAATTTGTTAGGCTGTGTGCAGCCACAACAAGATGGAAGTTCCCACAGATGTACATCTTCGAGAATCATCCTTCTTAAGTCATGATAGAATATTCCATTTTGCTTTGTGCAGAGGTAAAGTCCATCTTAACCAAAAACAAGCGTATGATTGTTTGGTGATGTTTCACAAAAGATTCTTGAATGACTGGAGTTTTGATGGAATCACAATGTACCTGTGCCTATTTGAATATTGCTTTCATGAAAAAAAAAGATCAGAAAATATATTTTCTATTTTGATTACCTTAGAAGTTAATCACAGTTGACCGAATACGTTTGGTGTCCTTCCTGCTCTTGATTCTTGTAGTTATAGTCTATATTGATTACCACATTACTCAGCCATAGTTGATAAAATACTTTTCATGTTCTTTAACTCTCGAATCTTGTTTACCAAAAAAGAAAAGCTCTCAAATCTTGTTATCCTTTGTTGCTTTAGATCATTAAGTATCTCTTCCGTCTAGTTTCTTTGCTTCTTTTTCTGGGATTGCAGGTCCCTGGAGTTCATCTAAGCATGGACAGGACTGGAACTGTACTCATTTCATTGTTTTATATTAGAAAACTTAACTCGAGGGTTATCTGTACAAGAAATTGAAACAAACATTTTTCTTTTGAGAGAAGTAAATCATAAATAAATTGTATGTTAGAACACATTGCAATTTGTATCATAGTAGAAATATGACCCGAAATGGATGCATTTATTTGACAAAGATTGCAAAGTATCCCATTTCAAAGTATCCCATTTATTTGACAAAGATTGCAAAGTATCCCGAAATGGATGTATAAATACTTTCACGCATTATAAAAGTGTAATTTAGATTCCAAAATCCATTTGCTAGTAGTTTGGACCTTCAATGGTCTCATATGAGATGCTGATTCCACCAAGGTGGAATTGCTCTGCTAAATGGATTATGGATTGCTTTGAGATATACCTTATCTGGCCAATGAAAGTGGTTGGGCCAATGCTAGTACCTGTTGAGAGGTTGGACCAAGCTGCTCTATTAGTTCTATTAGTTACTTATTATTATTATTTTTTTTATGGGCTTTAGTTGTAATGGGCATAAAGCCCCTGTTTTATTATTTGTTCTTCCTGCCACTTTATAGAGGGGCACTCTTGTATTTCCTATTATTTTTAGAATGAATTGAATATATCATTGGGAAGGGCTGGTAGAGGTGTACGATTCTTCTTCTCTCCCTCACCCTTTCTCTTTTGCTTTCTTTCCTCTTGCTGTCTTGCTATTTCCCTCTCTACTTTCTCTCTTTTTTCTCTCAAAATTACGTAATTATTGCTGCTGGTTTATTTTCAACTGTACCTAATAGGTGAAGTATTATGATTGGTTGAGGTTAATGGAGGCTTCTTAACAAGATTTACCATAATCTTTGTCCAATGCTAGTTCAGATAAAGTGGATTCATAGAGATTACCTAAATCTCCTCAACAGCAAGTGGATTCAGATCAAGTATCTTTACTAGTTCCACAACATAGGCACCACCAGCACTCCATCCTACAGCCACTTCACTTCTTGTCAACATTCATATGGGGACAAAAGATGGTGTTGATTTCCATACTAATATTGTTGGAACTAGTAGAGATACTTATGCATTATGGATCATTAGATGGTTGAATAAAGATGAACCAGTAAAAAAGAAAACAAGGGATATTTATCAAAAGGAAAAAGAAAAAGAAACAAGGGATGTGTGTTGATTTATGGATTCTTGTTCATTTTATTAGCATGCATACAACTTAGGCAGAAAACATCTTTTTACAAAGAATAACTTTGTAAGATAGATATGTATAAACCAATAGATATGGATCAATGGGTCAAATGCAACATTTTCTGAATCGAGTAACCAGTTAGATGTAGTTCCATTTAAGTATTAGAGAAAAGTTGTAAATGAATATCAGCTACATAGCTTACTTTATTTTGGCGTTGCCTTAAACAGTTGGACCATGCATGGCTACTCTATATATTATCAAGATATAATGCTTATGCAAGTTGCCCAGGGCCAGCTTGTAATTTGTAATCAGGAATGTGTAATTTGCAATAGTTTCTGCTTCATTTCTACTTGTATGTATCTCCTTGGGACAACAAGGGTTGTACTTTTCACCTTCCTGCATTTTTAATGACGTTTATACTGTTAATTATAAAAAAAAAGTGATAAATATATGAGATCTTAATTCAAAGAGAACACTGAAGAGGTGCTATCATTTTTATTGCAGGGGGAAGATGTTATTGTTGTGATGCCATGGGATGAATGGTGGGAATTTGAACTGACCAAAGATGATTCCAATCCACAGATTGCGTTGCTTCCCTTACATCCTGACATCCAAGCAAAGTTCAATGAGTCAGCTGCTTGGGAATATGCAAAAAGCATGGAAGGGAAACCATATGGGTTTCATAACATGATATTTAGCTGGATAGACACCATAGATGGAAATTATCCACCACCCTTGGATGCCCATTTGGTACTGTGTTTCTTGTCTCCATTTTTCCATTTCTCCACTGGTGATATTTAGTTTTCAGGCTAAGTTCAGTGGTGATATTTAGTCTTCTTTTTGTACATGGTTAATGGTTTGTGATTTTTCCTCAAAACATTGTCCAGCAGGATTATTACTGGTAAATTATCATGGTCTCTTTTGAAACTTAGAACCAGTAACCTGATTGTTGATATTATGAGTGATTGCATTAAAACCCAGATAAACATTTCTAAGTCATCTAACAACTTAATTTGCACTCAGATTTTCTCTGAAGGCTCAGTTTGTTTGCAGTGCAGATTTCATTTGCACTGGTGTAATTGCTTGGAAGTGCAAATAGGCTGAGTGTAAATTTTGGTTTACTTTTGCTTCAGGTTTGATTTTGTCTTATTTGTTTGTAAGAATTAAATAGGAAGTAAATTGTTGTGTTCCCAACCTTATATAAAAGAGAATGGAGGTAGCAGAAGGGTTACCTGTTTGGGAGTGAGGTAGAAATCAAGATGATGTGCTCCCCACTTTATACGAGAGAGAATTGAAGTTGGAGGAAAGTGTAGCAAATTTTGCATCAGTTTCTGGGATGCAAAATTTGCACTGCCAGTGAGTGCAAATGGAACAGAAAGCATAAATCTTGTATCTGGTAAAGTGTAAATCATAGTTACAAACAAATGGATGCAAAACTGGACTTGGTGCAAAATTTGTATCCTCTTCAGTTTTGAACTGTAAACAAACAGCCAAAACTTTTAGTTGAATCTGATAATTAGTGGGTTTCAGTGCAAGTTAAAACCATAAATCTTCAAGATTTTTCTGCATTTGGGCATGGGGTCTATCAGTCCATTTGTTCTGAATTATCAAAGAAAGAAATAAAGAAAAATACAGCAAGCATATGCTGCTTTCATTTGTTATGACTTCTAATGGTCTCTATGTGTTTGGGCATGTGGTATATCAGTCAAAATAAATGCCGATTGTATCTTTCCTTTGGGAATGTGGTTTATCAGTCAGTTCATTTGTTCTGAGTGCAATTTCTAGTGTTTATACAGGTTGCTTCTGGTATGACAGTATGGCATCAGATGCAACCAGCATACGCTGCTAACTTGTGGAATGAAGCCTTGAACAAGCGCCTTGGAACTGAGGTATCTTAAGATTATGTTTTCCATCTAGTTTCCAAATCTTTATTGATAAAATTTTGAGCACTATATTACTCCGATGGACATTGAATGGGTGCTTCTGCAGAATTATCTTCTTTGAAAGGTTGTAGCCTGAGTATTTATTTTATTTGTCAATGGCATAGCACATTCACCGCCTGAAACTCACTAGATATTTGTTCCAATTGAGATGTTCTGCAACGAGAAGTCATTGTGGTCCAATGATCTTAATCATCTTTTGTCTGTCAGGATGGTAATTCATGACCAGAACAACCTGAACCCACCTGATTTTTCCCTGTCCAGGATCTCTTAACTGAACTCATTCTATAGTTATGTCATTGACAGGTTGGATTCTGGTAATTAATTTCATGTTCAGCTTACTAAATTATTGGTTTAGGTTCAATCAAGTGTTTCTAGCCCAACATGACCCGATAGACCCCTTTTTTATGGGGTCAGGCTGGGCTTAGCCTTAGCATGGGTTGTAAAGGGGAATTGGGTAGACCTGACACGTGCCCAACCAGACTCAAAGATGGGCCTGGGTTGGGCTGGGCCACTAGGCCTAGAAACCCCCTAGATGGGATGTTAATATTTACTTATTTCACTCATTATGATATATTTATGGGTGTGGGTTTACTGGTCAAATCATTTAATAAGCTTCCTTAGATGATACAAGAATGTTTCACATGGAAACTTAGTTTGGGACTTAAAAGGAGTCCCAATATTCTTCACCCTGCCCTCTGTTCATGGAAAATTAAAAAAAAAAAAAATCAGCCCAAAATTCATTTCTAAGTGCTCAAAATGAAGCACCTTTTATGGGAAACTTTTATATTAAAAAATTAAAATTTTTATGGCTATAATTTATTGGGCACAACTGCAATACAAGGTTGGATCTAGGGCTCAGGTGGACTGTGGGATTGAACACATGATCGATCCATCAATATCCTATGTGATAGACAGCCTGCATTGTCCTCATGATTCATCCATGTCACAGAAATAGGTAGGGATGTAGGGAAGTTCCTTGGTTGGCCCCTATATTTATGTATATCTGCAGGGGTAAGGCTGCATACATCTGTCCCTCCCCAGACCCCGCATTGGTGGGAGCCTCGTGCATTGGGCTGCCCTTTTTATTTTATACTTTTCATGTGATTTATGCTAAAAGAAAATGGGTCTTATATAAAAATTTTTCAGAAATGACTTGAACCTGTCTTATAAAATATAAAGGGAAATGCTAACTGAGGCATCTATAGCCCAGCCCAGCACAAATATGACGAACTTCAATGGTTCAATTTGGTGGTCTTTCCCTCTATTGCCACCCCTAGGTCCCTCGCATTGTTATGTACATAACAATTTTTCTGTACTTTTGTTATTTGTTATGTACTTTTCTTTATAGGAATAAATATGCATATGTAATTCACTATCAATTTTTCTGTCTTATGTATTATCAAAGGGATAATTCTTGGGTAGTTTTTTGCATTAAAGGTAAGAAGTTGTTAGCATGTCTAGTTAACTTTCAAAGTTTGGAATTTATAATTTAGTTTTCTACTGTATTTTGGCAATTGTATATAATCCAATAGTTTGTTTGGTTAACTGTTGTTATCTAATACTCGTCGTTCCTTGGTAAGGTGAAAGAGGCTTATTAACCTGGGTTGGAGAAATAAGGGTCTCATCACAAGTGTTGGCTTTCTTTCTCGATGTTAAAATAGTCAATCCCTTGTGTTTTCTAAAGAATAATTTGCCCCACAGAGATCAGGATGAAGAGAGCCTTCACCCACCAACTGCTCATATACACAATTATCCATGTTTGCCTCACACCATCATGGTCAAAGTAAACATTGTGGTAATGTAAAATTTTCTATCATGAGCCAAAATTGCAAAACATGCTCTCTGATGTTGGGAATTTGTTTTGCTCATGACATCATTCCCGATCCGTGAACCTACCAAAGTACAAGCTTAAGCCCTCTTTATCACTACATATCGCTTTATCCTTTGTTGAAAGTCTTCATGGTTTACCTAACCATTAGCCTATTACACCTTCTGGTCAGAATTCAATTTCAAGATTGTCAATGAGCCTTAAAAATGAAAAAAAAATGAGCATTATAATACAATATATAATGATTATGTAGACTTAAGCATCTAATTTTGTGTTTTTTTAGGGTCTTGATCTCCCTGAGATACTAGTCGAAACTGAAAGGCGTGGATTATCTTTTGATAAACTGCTGACAATTCCCGAACAGGATGATTGGCTTTATAGCAATGGTAAATCTACATCATGTGTTGCCTTCATTCTAGAAATGTATAAGCAAGCAGGGCTGTTTGGTCCAATTTCCAGCTCCATCCAAGTTACAGAATTTACGGTGAGTTCATCCAGTTAACTAAGTGGCCCTTCTGATATTCTGGAATTTGAATAAAGCAACCATCTTGCACTGTTGAAAACAATTTTAGGACACAGGTATGCATGTGTGTGTGTGCGTGTGTATTTATTTGAAGGGTGGGTGTTCTACCTGTGAGAGTGCTAGGACATCTAATTGGCTTAGGTTAGCAGGGTCATAGATCCTAAGTCTGGACATTTTACCAAGTTCACTACTTTCGTGTGCATGTCTATGGAAGTGGGTTGATTCTGCACTACCTTGTTACACTGTTTCCAAAAGAGTTGATCTTTTCAAGATTAATGTCGTCAACAGTACAATGCTTTTTGGATTGTTGAGAAGAAAAATGTTCGTAATTAATAACTTTTATTTATCCTTTCCACATGCATATCCAATTGCAGATAAAAGATGCTTACACCCTCAAGTTTTTTGAGAATAACTCAAGCCGCTTGCCCAAATGGTGTAATGAAGGTGATGATGTGAAGCTTCCTTTCTGTCAAATTCGGGGGAAATATCGGATGGAGCTACCAGGATACAATACCATGGATCCCTACCCTCACATGAATGAGCGGTGTCCATCACTTCCCCCGCAGTACTTTAGACCACAAGGGTGCTGAAACCTGTCTCGACAAGGTTCTTGTATTATTTGTTCTAACATCTGTAACATCAGGTCAATTATAAAATTGATGAACAGCACAGTACACCAATGATCAAAAGCTGTCAAAATTGAACTCTTTGTACAATAGAAAAAGGAAGCAATCCTTGGAGGAAATTTAAGTATTTCATTTTTGTGCATCTGGATTTAACTAGTTGTGATGAGATGAGTGCCTTCTCTGTTGAAATTAACTGTTCCTTGACCTGGAGGAACCACTCTTGTGTGACTGTGAATGTGAGTAGCTGACTATAAGTTGATGAACTGGCTATGTATTACCATCCCCTAATAACAGCATTCTTTAAGAAGCCTTGGATCAATCAGTTATATGAGAAGGAAATCAGTTAGCAGTTGGTAAGTTATTTAAGGAATTTCAATGAAAACATGATGGCTAGCTCTTTAGTATCACTAGTAAATGCGCACTCTTCTGAAAAATAAAGGTTGAAGGAGTCAAACTCGTGTCAAAGTGCTAGGGAGAGCTTAACATCTGCGCTTGTAAGCCACTATGCCACTCTATCTTTTGTGTTTATAAGTAAATGAATATAACTTTTTGTGGAGCTAGGATTCTTAGGGGTGGACTGAATCTTGTTCGTGTATTGGTGCCAAATTCACAGGCAGGATGTGGTTTATAGGGGGGGGGGGGGGCTACTAGTATATTAGGAAGGGGCTGCAATTCAGATTTCTGAGGTGGATTGCAGTCTACATATCCCAAAAATTTATAAAAATATAATATTAATAAGAGAATAATTATTTTAATACTTAAGATTTATAAATTTGCACATGATATATATATATATGTATATTAATTTACATTACACAAAATCATTTATTATTTAAAAAATAAAGAAATTGTTTACAAAATATTCAAGAATATAATCTTAAATTGAATCTATCAAATCTACTAATCTACATTTATACCAAAAAAAGATTTTTAATTAGAAAATTATAGGAATAAAAATATAATAATGGAATAATTATTTTAAAAGTCAAAAATTATGAATTTGCATATGAAATGTACCTTAGAAATTTTAATAGATTTGATATATTTTAAGTTGAGATTATACATTTTATAAATTATTAATGGATATTTTAATTTACATAGAGAATTTAATATTTGATTGACCTCTTTGTTAATTTAAAAAAGTAAAAATAGTAAAATTGAAAATAATTGATATAATAATTAAAATATAATAGGAAATTATGTTTTGCATTTTGGACTCTTGATTGATACAATATCAATAAAATTGCATGATATCTATGCATCATATTATATTAATTGTAATATATTTTTTTCATATACACTATTAAAATATACATTTTCTATGTATTTATACATTATTTGTGATTATTTAACCTTAAATTTAATATTATTAATGTATTATGAAATTTTTATATGTTACCCTAGCATATCCATATTTTTCGTCTGTATCCATGTGTTTCCAAAGTGTATCTGTATCCGTATCCAAATTGTCTGATACGATATAATACTCGATACTGATACTTTAATCCTTGCAGGAATTTTAGATGATAATGATGGTAATAATGTGTGTCCACATTCTTTTGTAATTTTTATACTTTTATGTGTATAAAAATAATTGTTATTTATCCGGGTTAGTTTTGTTTAATTTAAAAATATATAATATTAAAGACGTGCCCAAATGTTTTTTGCACATTTTATTTATTTTTTCTTAATTTTTGTTTTTTTTAATCTTTTTGTAACTTTTATTATTTAATTATAACATCATTGTTAGAGAATGGGATGAGGTTTTTTTAGTATTAAGATTATAAGAATGAGAGTTAAGTATATGACTTGGTGATAGGGAATTGAAGAGGTGAAAAATATTAATTCAAATTGCATTTTTTGCCCTCACAATTAAAGAGGGAGTAAATTCAAAAAATATAGATATTTTAGTTAAAAATAATAAGTTTCACAAGCTATAGATATGTTCAAATTTTCTACATTTTTTATATTTTTATGCATACAACATGATTCTTATTTATCATACTTATTTTTGTCTTGCCACCAAACAAGAAAATAATTGCATATTAGGATCAAGTTTTAAATTGTGTATTTCATTTCCATTTCAACAAAACTTTTCTAAAAAATATTTGGCATGTAGTAATGTAATCGGAATTTCATTTTCTAAATTTATTTATCTATGAAAGCAAAGAAATGTGAAGTATTGTTCTAAATTTTGTCTTATTCCATGAGATCAAGAAGTGAAACCCTTCTCATGTTGGCATTTCCATAGCACTCTTTTTGAATTGAGAATGAATGCCTTTTTTAAGTTGTCCCTCAATCAAAAGGACATAACACATATGAAACCTTAGCTTCACTGATTTTCTTAGGTCAGGTGTAATATTCACCATGACATCGTTGGCTTAGTTCTTTTTGCTTTCCTACATAAATGGGCAAATAATGAAATGTTGGCTTTAAGATCGACATGTAGATTTATGGAATCTTGTTTATTATACATATTTTTCTTTTATATGACTGGTATAAAAATATTAGAGATGTGCCCAATTTCTTCTACATTTTTTTTGTATTTTTGTATTTATTTTTAATTAAAAATTTATTATTGAACTATAACATCATGGGTTGACCCATTTGACCTAGATGGTTGAATTGCTTACCCACCACATAGACAAAAGAATGATTTCATTTTTGGGTAAATTAAAAAAATATGGATTTTATATTATTAAAAATATTGGATATAGATTTAATTAATATTAGCGAAAGATACCATAAATATAGGACTTAATGAAAGAGAATGGATTAATACCTTAAATACAAGATTTAATGAGAGGGAATTAAATAAGGTAAAAAAATAGTAATTCAAATTACACTTTCATCCCTCACAATTAGAGATGGATTAAATTATTAATTAAAGAAAAGTTTTATATCCTCATTTATACTTTTAATAATAACTAGTAAATATGCACATGCTAATTTCAAATAACATTAATATTTTCGATATCCTTATTAGAACCATTTAGAAGGATAAGTAATAAAAGCATGGTGTCTTGGTGCATTTAGATTTTATATTTCATTTTCATCGTTAATAAAAAAAATTCTTATTTATCATATATATTTTTGTTTAATATGATAAATATATGTTATTAGAGATATGCATAAATTTTATAGACAAATTTTTGTGTTTTTTATATTTTTATATTTATCTATTTTTTGAGTATTTATTATATCTATGATAGCATGTGTTGTCTATTTGACTTGAAAAAAAGCAACATCATTTTTTTGGAAATTTTAATTTTTTTATTTCATTTACATAATTAATTCTAAAAATAATTATTGTATATCACACTTATTTTTGTTTGATATGATAAGTTTATAATATCTTAAATTTCTCAAATTTTTTTTATAAATTTTATGTATTTTATTTTTTTGTGTTTCTATCTATTTTTTTAAATTTGTATTATTTAAGTATGGCATCGTTGATTAACTCACTTACCCAAATGATTGGACCATTGTGGTGCAAGTCAAGTAGGTTTGGCTGAATTTAAGCTTAACATAAGTCCAACCCTATGCATTGGACCTAAGATTTCTAACCAAAGTCAAGCCTAATCTATTCAACTTGGGCCAACCTCCAACCTGCATTAAAATTTGATGCAGTTAGGTTAGTTTTGGACTTGAATCTATCAATTAACCCCATGACAAAGTTTGGCATAAAATGTATGTGTTTAATTGTATATACATGCATGTATACAAATATGTGCTATATATATTTATGATTGTATGTATGTAATTAGGCTTGACTTTAACTACCTAAGGGATAGGCTTAGACTCAACTCAAAAAATAAAAAAGCCCAAACTTTTGAACCTAGGCCTAGGCTCAAGTCAAGGATCGAAAATTGAACATAACCTATCTAAAATAATGTGCTAAGTTAATTTGAGTTCGAGTTAATCCCACCTAATTTGCCTCCCTATGGACCATTAACCATTAATTAGGTGCAAAAATAATTTTCTTTTTAAGTTATTCTAGTTTTTAATTCTATTTCTATCATTAATAAAAATAATTCTTGTCTATCACACTTATTTGTGTATGATATAATGAATACATAATATTAAAGATGCACCCAAATGTTTTTTTACAAGATTCCTATGTTTTTAATGATTTTTATGTTTCTACATTTTTTAATTTTTATTATTTATTTATGATATCATGGGTTGATCCATTTGACCTAAAAGGTTAAATCATTGACCCACCACTTGAATAGGAAAATGGTTTCATTTTTTAAGTTAGTTTTAGATCTTGTATTTCATTTTCATCGAATAAAAATACTTTTATTTAATATGCTTAATGTTCTTTGATATGATAAATATATAATATTAGAGATGTTTTTTTCATAATTTTTTATAATTTTTATAATATGTATATTTACATTTATTTTTAAATTTTTATTATTTAACTATGAAAACATTGGTTGACCCATTTGATGCCGATGGTTGAACTATTTACTTGCCACTTTGACAAGAGGGTGGTTTATTTAATTATTTTTCATGTTGGTTTTGAACATAAGTTTTACATTATTAAGAATATTAGATATAGTTTTACTTTGTAGAATTTATTGGTGAGGAACAAAAATACTTCAAATAAAGTATCTTAGGAGAGAGAACGAGAGTTAATGCCTTAATGAGAGGAAATTTAATGAAGTGGATAATGTGGGATTAAATTCATAAATAGGGTTGTTTTAGTCAAGAAAAGTCTACAAAGCTCATTTATTTAATGTGTCTTAATTTACTGAAAAGAAATGAGACTTAATACCTTAAATATTGGGCTCAATGATGAGGAATATAATAAATTTAATAGAATTAATAGTTCAAATTATGTTTTTTTGCCTTCATAAATATAGGGAGATCAAATTCAAAGATTAAGTATATTTTGGTAAAAGAAAATCCAGAATCTATAGCTAATTCACACTTTTAATAGTAGTACAGATATAGATATAGACTACTGAACAACTAAGATTAACAAGGGATGTAAGAGCTTACTTTTTTCTAACTTTTTGGTACTACAAGGAATAAGAGCTAAGTTGGCACATCTTGTGGATTAGGAAGGCCTTAATTTTGTGAAAAATATAAAAGGTAAAATTTAAAAATTTACTACTTTATATTTCACGGGGCTCTTCTTTAGCATCAAATTCAGAATCCTAACAGTAGTGCATTTCACGTTTCACTTCCATCCAATCCAGACATAGCTCTTTTAAGTTGTTCTGGTTTCTAAATCCTTTAATGGTCATTTTGACATGGAAATGAGATAGAATGCTGAGGGAAGAAAATCATTGCATGTTCATCTAGAGGGAGAAGAGCTCAACTGGTGAAGTTGAGAAGCTTAGGTGGCATTTAATAAAGTTGAAGCATGGTGTTTGAAAAATCAAAAAGCTATTATTCTGGTCTGAAATTTGAAAAAGAATTAGAAATTAATTTTTGCTTTCTAGAGGCTCTAAAAAGATAAGATCGTTTGAGTTAGTTCTCCAACATCTAAAACTGTGAAGGTTACTATTTTACCCTCATAAATAGATTGTTTGATAATATTATAAATAATAAAAAGAATATTAAAAATATTATTGTATTAATAAACAAATATTATGATTTGTTGAAATAAATGATTATTTGTTATTTAATTAATAAATATTATTATGTATTATTAACTAATAATAAATAAAAATATTTTAATTGTTATTAATAAACAAATTATTAAATATTATTATTCATTCAAATAAATTAATAATATTTATTATCTAATTAATAATACATATTTCATAATAATAATGACCATAATGAAGGCATTAATGTCATTTCATCATGCCTGAAATGCATCTTATTCTAGTAAGACATGAGACCAAGTCTTATCATTTCCAAGGTCAATACATATCGTATCGGGGGCTTCCTGATACACCCCCTACAGGGGTGTTTCGGGTCAGACAGTGGTTTAAGGGGTAGATCAGTCTTAAACCGATCCCTTTGAACCAGATTCAAAAAAAACAATAAAAAATAGTGAAAAAAGCGTCAATACAGGCTAATACGCCCTACCGGCCTGTATTGATATTTTGAACCTTGATCATTTCAAACGTCTTTTCTCTTTTTAGATGTTAAAAGTAGATGCTTTACATCTAAAAAGCATTTTTTTTAGCACATTAGATGTCTGAAAAGTGTTATCAAAGACTAACTTAATCAATTTAAAAAGTGGAATACCAATTAGCAAAACTTTAGAAAAGTAAACATTTTTGAAGGTTTTTTTAATATATCCATTTCAAGGTTGCTCATAAAGATTGTATTTAAGAGATGTTTTTCATTGTTGATTGAACTAAATAGGACAAATAAACAATGTGACGTTGCATACTGTATAGTACAAGCATCAAAGAAGAAATTCATTAGTTCTACGACTTGTGAATTGGCAGTTACAAATTTTGAAAACTTTCAAGCAAAACATATCCCCTAGAAATCAGAATACTTTAACTCATCTTTTTACCTACTACTCTATTAAATTTGGTGTAAAATATTATGTATGATTCTTCTGGGCTTCATGTACTTTCAAATTATCAATGAATGAATGTGTTTTTTAGCCAAAAAAAAAAAATAGTACTAGTAGGTACTGCCATGCACAAAGAAGCTTCTTCTACTCCCAAAATAATGAGTCAAGGTGTTCATGTCATTAGAGTGAATGAGTGAAATACAAAACTAATCCTTATTTTTCAGGGGACAAAACCTTGATAGGTCTGCTACTAATTTGGTTAAACTTTTCTTCTGAAATTGACGCTCTGGATTTAATATCAGCACTTCCCTATTCAATGCTTTTGTGAACCGTAAGTTATGCTCTGCAACAGGTTTGGAAGAACTTGTTTTCGCGCCAAAAAATACTTCTTTAGTAACATGTAAGGTGCTTGAAGTTAGAAACATGTTTCGCTCAAATATTATGCAGTCAAATACATAACCATACTCTAATCAAGAATAAGGAATAATCGAAATGGGTGGCCAACACAATGCTTTACTTCAAATTACAGGAAATTGTCACCTCAAATTCACTCAGCCTTAGATGGGATACGATTGCCACCAGTTGCTATCTTGTATAGATAAAATGCCGCCATTAGAGCACTACAAGAAAATGCAGAAAAGTAATAGTGTCCAGAAATGATTGTGAACGAGTATATCATGAATGAAATTTGGAGTAGAAATGAACCCCTAAGAGACATCAAGCTGTGAAAGTATCCTTGTGAAAAATCTAGGTCATGTGAAACAAGTTAGAACCGAGAATTTATAACACATTAACAAAAACATGTGAAGCATGAAAACTAAAAATGAAAGATCTTCAGGAAGTTAGTTTGTAAACCAGATAGTAGAGAGGTAATAGTTCCTTGTCAACCATAAAGGCTGTCTATACACATTGCACATGAATGGGATCTGAATCTATCAATCTACAGAAACCCCACCAGAAATATGCTGCCAGAAAATATCAACTCAATTGGACTCTGGCAATCATCAAATGCATTTGTCCTAGTTCAGAAAATGGTGGAATAGTCCAGCAAAATTCCTTCTCGGTCAAAGACAAAATAGTCATGGAATGGAAGCCTCCTCCAATTAATAGTGAAGCTATACTTTGAGGGAAGCCCTATGTGTAACCTAGGACTGTCAGGGATTGGAGGTGTCTTTAGAAATTCAGAGGGGAAAGTGGTGACACTCTTCTTGGGTCTGATTGGAATGGGGGACTCTTAAGAGCTGAAATTTTGGCCCTACTTCAAGGTATGAAGATTGCAAAACAACAGGGAAATGAATATGTTGAGGTAGAGGGCGATTCGAAACTGGTAATAACTTGGATGAATGACAATAACATGGGTATGTGGATCCACAAGTATATTATAAGAGAGATTAAGAACATAGCAAAGGATTTTGGGGCAACATTCAGATGGGTAAAGAGAACAACAAACGGAATGGCTGCCACGCTGGTTAAACAAGGGGTGCATAGGAAACAACTCTTTTGGACTACTCACCAAAAAAAAACAACTCTTTTGGACAGATCTGTAATTGGAGTTCCTTCCACATTATAAGGGGGGGCTGAACTCACTTGTAACAGCAATATATGTATTTATGCCTCTATTGAAATTAATGAAATGAACTTTTCTACCTATAAAAAAAGAGTCCAGCAAAACAAGGTCCAGTCAATAGTTACCTAAGGGGGAAATTGCAAGACGATTCAAAATGAACCAATCAGCAAGCCAGTTCTCATTGTTTCCATAAGTAGAGAAAAAAAATGCTGGTTTTCTTGTTCATCCCTAGTTTTTGGTAAGAAAAGATTGTTTTCATAAATAGAAGTAATCCATATCTATAGATAAAGTTTTGTCAAAATAAATAACCAAAAAGAACCATTTTACAAAGTTAAGATATAAGGATACAAAAAGCCTCCATGTTGGAGCTCAAAACTTCCCCAAGGTCCACCTTGCTATCCAATATTAGTAGGGAAGTTTCAGTCCAAAAAACATTGCCACGTTATCAGAATAAATCCTGCTTTTTTGGGGAAAGTTAAATATTAATTCCATGACAATATTACTTGTTGAAAATACTAACAAGAATCAGGGCACAGAGAAGATGTGAACAGGAGGATTAAACAGGTGGTCAGTCCAGAGGGTTCCCTACTTGGTGGGCAGTAAAGATTGGCCACATCATCCCTGCATAATAGCAGAAATAGGATACATCATATATATATATATATATATATATATATATATATATATATATATATGGACTGTATAAGCCTACCCTAGGTGGGTTCTTTTACAAGTTGATAAATTGCAAAAAAAAAAAAATTCTTAACTTGGTGAACCATCAAGCTAGGTAATCATGGTCCACAAACACTTATCCAGGAGCACGGARATCAATATCAAATACATGTACACGCAAGCATGCCCAGACTAGACACTCAAACTWACTCATGTACATAGACACATACACCTCAGCATGCTGATATCCATGCCAATATTATAGTTGACTGACTAAACACATACACCTCAGCATGCTGGGTTCTTTTACAAGTTGATAAATTGCAAAAAAAGAATTCTTAACTTGGTGAACCATCAAGCTAGGTAATCATGGTCCACAAACACTTATCCAGGAGCACGGAAATCAATATCAAATACATGTACACGCAAGCATGCCCAGACTAGACACTCAAACTAACTCATGTACATAGACACATACACCTCAGCATGCTGATATCCATGCCAATATTATAGTTGACTGACTAAACACTGAACCAAATAATACCATCACTTAAATAAAGGAATAACTGAAGCAAATGAGGTAACATATATAATGTGTCAACTTTGAGTTTGAATAAACACAATATATATAGTCAAACTTGAGTTTAACCTAGCTAAAATTTGATGTCATCATGGAGGGAAAAAAGATTTTTTAAAGGACAAAATAAAAGTTTTTTTTGAAGAAGGGTAACTGAAATTTCATTAAGAGCTTCTACATCAAAAGGAAGGTACACCTTCAAGTTACCTGATTGCAGCTACAATTCCAGTCGGCATTATTTTGGATGTTTGTATATACCGTTGTCCCATGACCCATGTTAGTGTAAGTGCACAACCTGTTTTATAGATGAATAACAGCCAACAGTGTAAAGCATAAGGAGATTGAGACAACATTTTGATCAAACTAAAATAAATAATGAGATCCTTTCAAGGTCTGCTTGTAGTGCATAACAGTGCAGACTTGAAGGCACAGTTCAATTGACATATTGAGTATTTATCTATGATTATTTAGTCCTAGACCTGCTCACAGCATCAAACTCCTTGAATTTTAACATTCTATGATCAGACCATGCCCACAACTGAGAAGAGAGGGACAGTCAAGAAATTCTATACCATTTTTTTCCCTCATGGAATGAGTCAGAAAGAAAACTTAGAAGGATAATTTTTTACACAATCAACAACTATTAATGAGGCTTTATTGATAATGCAGGTGTATGGTAATTCCTACATTCAAAAGACAGAATGTAAGTATACAACATGAAGCTTACACCAACTCATACAAGCAATAAGACAAAACAAAAGGCAAAGTACAATGACAAGATTGAAGGAAGATTACCTTCTTCCAGAACCACTGGTCCAGGATCGCCCCCCCAACCACCACTAGCACACACACATTAAATCTTCCCTCACTACACCTCCTCTTGCAAGGGAGTCAGGTAAAGTATTAGCCAATCAAGAGATCCACTGAACAAACTGTTCAGAGTATAAGTCAAATTCTTAGCTTCTTAAATGAGAAATTTCAAAAAAAAAAAAAAAAAAAAAACAGAAGGTAGATGTTTCTTGTTGATTCCATTCCAGTTACAACCTGGAAGCTTCCTTTGATAACCAGACAATTCCATCCCGAGGATTAGACATCTTTAATCCCTGCAGAAGGGTAAGAAGCCCATC